GGTGCTACAATCGTATTGGTGCAAGTACTATGTGGCTGGGAGACACTGTTTCTCTGGAAAGGACTGTAAGTTCTCACATGATGCAACTGGTGTAAGGTGTATCCAGTTTGCTCAGTCTGGCAAGTGCCGTTATGGGGACAAGTGTGTCTTTGAGCATGGTGATCCGCTGGATGAACAGAGGCCAAGGTCTCCAAGGACGCCCCCAAGGGATGGTCCAAGGAGAAGTTCTGGTACAAAAGGTGGAGAAAAGGAGATCTCTCCTGAACGGTTTGATGAAGACGAGGAGGATTTCATGGTTTATGACGATGATACCAAAATGGTAGAACTGCTGATGGAGGCGATTTCATTTATGTCCAATGGCAAGTCAGATTTGGCTCGTGCAGAGGCGGACCCAGTGTTCAAACTCCTGAAGTTCAATGGAGACGCTGAACAGATGGATAGAGAATGGTGCTCATGGACCACTGGTATGCTGTCTACACTGGAACTTCACGAAATAGTGAAGTCGTATGAGGTTTCGCTGGCGGAGGTGGAAGAATGGGTCAATGACCTGAGGATATGGTTCGAGCGAGCCAATGTTGAAGAAGAGACAGATCCCAAAAGGGGCAAAAAGAGGTCCCTAGAAAGGGAGTCCCGCAAGGATATTCCTGCCGAAAAGGAGGTGGTTGGAACTTCGGAGACGGATGTTGCCGTTGAGGAAGAGGTGAAAAAGGTCAAAAAGAAGAGGAAAACTGCAGCTAGCGAGGATCCGTATACTCTCATGGTTCCAAAGCCGAAGAAGATGCCGGCGATCATTGAGAAGGGTGGATCATCATCCAATGCGGTGGTTTCTGCAGGGGAAAAAGCCTCTTCGAGAATGCGCACAAAGTCAAGCGTCGTGGGAAAGACGTAGAAGAAGGAGAAAAGTCAAAGCCCCAAGAAGGAAGAGGTGGTAGTGGTGAAAGGTCCTGAGGAAAAGGATCGTTCCTCTGATGTGGATGCGCAAGCGTCTTCCGCTGTGAATGCAGAGCTGGGTCAATCTTGCCAAGCGATTGAGGACGCGAAGAGAGAGGGATTGGTATCCTCAATTCAAAGGTGCGTGCAAGATCCTGTTCTTACAGTGTCGGACCTAGAGTATGTTCTGCTGCGACTTCACCTCAGTATCGATACCCATCGGAAGAAGAAGTGACTGGATGGTATGGATGAGGGAATGGTTTTTCTCTTTCTGAAGACAGGTGTGCTGGAACAGCCAATGCGCTGAAGATATGGCGGTTACTATTAAGGGTATGGAAATCCCTGATAGTAGAAGTCAGTAGCTTTTTGCGTAGCGAAGACCACGGTTCGTGGTGAAGAAGACTGAAGAGTCTTCAATGACAAGAGAGTCATGGTGAAAAAAGATTCTCTGTGGGTAATGGGTTTAGCCAATGTGCTATAAATTCGTCCTGGATGACGTAAAACCATAATGTGCAGTCCAAGCAGCTGGCTGCTGCCCTAATGGCGGTTTTTGGCCGAAAGTCTGCACCTCCAATGTGTGTCCTAGGAAATCCTAGGACAGGGGGAGTGCGGAGCTGCAGTTGGTATTGTGGAAAGGAGTTGGAGTTGAAAGTTGAAGGGTCAATGTACCTGCTAATCTTCATGGCTCAAGACTGGGCCATGCGCCTGGTAGCAAAAAGAAAGTTCGAGTTTCTGGTGTTTGCTGGTTGGTTCAGGGTGAAATCTCTGGCGACTGTTAGGGTTGGTTTCCTTTCCCTTTCGGTTGCCCCCGTATAGGGTGTAGGGTTTAGGGTTTAGGGTTTAGGGTTTAGGGTTTAGGGGCAGGGTTTAGGGTTTAGGGTTTGGGGTTTAGGGTTTAGGGTTTAGGGTTGATCTAAGGTCTTTCTAGGGAAGTGCTGGAGGGTTTCTAATCTGGGTAGCGCAGTGGTACGTTTTTATGTCTTGCTTTGGGTTCCAGGGAACTCCCCTAATGCCCCCTAAAGCCCTAAACCCTAAACCCTCTACCCTAGACCCTAGACCCTAAACCCTAAACCCTAAACCTAAAACCTAAACCCTAAACCCTAAACCCTAGACCCTAGACCCTAAACCCTAGACCCTAAACCCTCCTTGCTACGAGCAGCTCAGGTTCTCGAGGCCTCCGAGGGGTTCGAGGCGCGGCTCGGCGCCCGCGCGGCGGCGCCTGGTCTTGAAAGGGACGTTAATGGGAACCCCAGACAGGGAAGCCCAAATTAGGGTCTAGGGTTTAGGGTTTAGGGTTTAGGGATATACCGCAATAGAATATATAATGTACCAACTACTGTATATTCCTCTCAAATTCCTACTACTGTAGATTCTTGTGGTCCTTTTGCCCTTCAGAGTCTGGAGAGGTGCAGGGGGTTGCTTTAAGGTTCTTTTTGCAGGGATCTTTGGCTGGCTTCTTATAGGGTTCTTATATGCGGGTTTACGACAATCGGGGACTCCTAAAATAGCCCCCAAATAGTAGGATTCCCTTGTAAGAAGGACCCCAATAAGGTACCCTAATATTGTAAACCGCCATAGGGTTTAGGGTATGTCGATGTATACAGGGTTCTTATAATAAAGCTGAAACTTTTTAGGGTAAACCCTAAACCCTAAACCCTAAATTGTAAACCCTAAACCCTAAACTCTAAACCCTAAACCGCTTGGTAACGTTAATGTTTCATCATAAGGAGATCAAATTAATGGCAACTTGTTCCAGGAGGTTTCCTAGGCAAGGAAAACAGGTATTGGTAACTTGGCCCAAGGTTAGGAACCCTAAGCCCTAAACCCCAAACCCCAAACCCCAAACCCTAAACCCTAAACCCGTAACGCAGCACAGTTTCAGGAATTTCGGGTTGTGGGCTCAAGATTCTTGGGATGTGAAGGGCTCTTTGGGGGTTAGGGTTTAGGTGATAGGGTTTAGGGTATAAGGGTTAGGGTATAGGGGCTAGGGTTTAGGGTTTAGGGTGGGGTTTAGGGTTTAGGGTTTAGGGTTTAGGGTTTAGGGTTTAGGGTTTAGGGTAAAGGGCGTGTCGGGTTCAAGCGGGTTGATGGATGTCGGGCTTTTTAGGTTTTAGAGTTTAGGGCTCAGGGCCCTTGGTTCCAAGTTTGGGGGTGGGGGGGGGGGTTAGGGTTTAGGGTTTAGGGTTTAGGGTTTAGGGTTTAGGGTTTAGGGTTTAGTGTTTAGGGTTTAGGGTTTAGGGTTATTAGGGTTTCTGGTTTAGGGCCTCTTGCGGAAGTACCCTCTTCGCAGGGAGTGTAATCTGGAACAGCCTGATGCGGGTTCTGGGCTTCTTCCAGTGGATTCATTGCAGCATAACTACTTAAATGAATCACATATGATGTTACATTGCATTTTTGCATTTTAAGGTTTCAGAACCTGGAGAGTGAGAACGCCAAGCAGCAGAAGGAGCTTGAAACGGAGTGTCAGTCGCCGCGACACTGAGTATGGCATCCGGCAGCAGCTGCGGCGTGACATCGAGTCAAAGGAAAACCCTAAACCCTAAACCCTAAACCCTACCTGAACCACCCGATCGTATGTTTATTTCCGTTTGTCGTAGAACGTGCACACTTCGTGTTCTGCACATATGTAAATCCATCCTCTTGCTAGTCCCGTACACAAATAACCGTGCCTAATGTTTTTGAGCTGCCTGTTTGAAAGTTCAAGCACTTCCCCGGCTTTGTGGTCCTTGGTGCGAAGGCCTGGTTTGGCATGGGTGGGAAAAGGACCAAAGCAGCCGAAAAAAACAATATATAAGGCTATCACCCTAACGCCCGGGAGCTTGTGATTTCGGACTTGTCGTTCTAGGCGTGACTTCTGTAAAACCTTAGTATGATATGGGGATGTGGGAGGGGTTTGGGAGGCTCTGGTAGTCATAGTCCCCGATGATCGCCTGACAGGTCGGGCCATGTGACTTTTGGATCCCTGGGTTTGGGCTGGCGGCTGGGGCTGGTGTGCCTGGCTTGCTTACTGGGCCACGACAGCCTACTATGTGTCTTCCCCGTGTCTGTGTGTGTGTGTGTGTGTGTGTATGTGTGGGTGGGTGTGTGCGTGTGTGCGTGTGTGAGCACCATGAGCATCAGCTTGGTAACTGCATTGTTTGGGCTTATAGATGCTCTTCATCAGTTGCTGTGTGTTCATGCGCCACACAGAGCGCATCATCGGGACACTCACCTTGCCCAAATACAGTTGCAGTCACGCTGCTGTAGAAACGGTCCTGCTAAGCTGTGAAGCTGTGGCTAGGGTCATCCGTGTGCTTGAAGCAAGGGCAGCAGTGGCAGAGGAGGTGGTGCCTCAAGATGACAATGTCAACTTGGGCCAGATATGGTTTGATCTTCCGGAAATGGCAACACGGGGCGCGGGTGGAAGGATTATCGTAGCAGGAAATGCATTGACGAGGGCAGACGTGGACTTCAACTGGGATATCATTGCTTACGCAATAAAGGTACTGGGGGTCAGACCTTCTGTGGATGCCCTGGAAGAGCATGTGGCGCAGTTCTTTGTGCTATCTCGGCCAAAGGGAAAGCCGAAGGTTGCAAGTGCCCTGTCCAAAGTCGCGTTGCATAATCGTGCTGCGTGCTGATTGAGCCTCATCCTTATAGGCCTTAGGCAACATGAATGCCCACGATTGCACACTTGCAAGGCAAGTTCTGCCGAACACAAGCATGGAGAATCAGGAACCTGATCACGATCTTTGCGAGACTCGCGAAACTACCACACCGCCCAACAGAAGAAAACATACGCAAGATGTATGAAATTCTTGGCATTCCGATTCCTGCAGGCATCTTGCTTGAATTGTTTCTGCAACCTGCAGATGTACCACCCAATGTCACCCAATAGACAATCACGAATTAGGTCGTGCCAACTTTCTGTCCACAATCAAGGACGGTCATCGTCGTCGCTGTCGGTCAATGATGCTGGTGAAGAACATGCTGGTGAACATGCGCAGGACACATGGGGCTAGAGGGTCTAGTTGAAGTTGTTCCGGTTGCTTTTCTGGGCAGCCCAATTGAAAGTGCAATTGCCCAGGCAGATGAAGGTGCAGAGGAAGAGACGCTTACAGATGATGAGCTTGATGAGGGTATTGAGCCCACGAAGCCCCACCCGTGCCCAGAAGCTCCTGCTGCAGTATCTTCCGAGCAGCGACGGTACAAAATCTGTGACTTGCACTCGTGTGAAAGCACCCTTGCATCAGTCGTCCCAGTGGCTATGTATTCAATCCTTCTTACTTTGCCTCCGCCTAGGCAGCAAGTCTCCGCCCAAGTCTTGGGAGACGCCGAGCCCTCGTGCGCCACAGAGTGTGTCCCCTGTTACTGGTGCAAAGGAGACCCACCCGAACAAAAAAAGAGCGATCCTGGAAGAGCTAGAGCAGTGCCGTGTGAACCTAGAAGCACTGTTGACAGCGAAGAAGCAGCGAACCAGCGAGAAGAAGCCCGAGAAGATCGATCGCACCTTGCATGCCTTGACTTTTTGATTTCCTGCTAGCATAACGCACATGCAAGGGGGTTGTGCTCCTTGTAATTACCATGGTTCACACTGTGGGTGTGTGAGGTAGGGTGGTCCATCAAGACACTGAAGAGACACAGCCCATGGACCCTGTGGCCGCTGCAGCAGTGCTGGAAGAAGCTAGAGTGCAAGTGGCAAGAATGGAAGCGGCTCAGTTAAAGGAAGCCGCAAGTGGTGGGCGTGATTCGTCCAGCACAGAGGGCGGAGAGCTCGAGACGGGTGATGGTTCTTGCGAAGCAGGACCCAAATCGAGGCCTGGTCAAGTGGAGGCCGTGCGTGAGCCAGCTGCTCGCGCAAGCCCTTCTCACGAGCAGCCGTGTGCTGTCAAGAGAGAGCCAGCTGAGCCTAGGAGTCCAGCTGTGTTAATCAAGCAAGAGCCAGAAGAAACGCCCGTCAAGAAAGAGCCAGAACTCAAGCCCATCAAGAAAGAGCCAGAAGATAAGCCCATCAAGAGGGAGGCAGAAGATATGCCCATCAAAAATGGGCCAGCAGATGAGCCCATGCAGCCGGAGCAGGAATGCTTGGGGCCCAACGTCACCAAGCCACACGTGCACCCTGAGTCTGCGCCTACCCTGACCAGTCAAACCATGCCAAAGCCAAGCAAGGTTGCCCAGACCTCAACCGACACGCCACAGCAGCCGATTGCAAAAAGACCAGCCCTCTTGGAGGCAGCGCCTGTGCTGTCACCGTCAGAACAGAAGAAGCTAGCCCACGCCAAAGCAGCTTCCGCAAGGAAAAAAGCAGGTAGCAAGGACACTGGTGATGCTTATGATGCTGAAGAAGCCCCGAGGAAGCGCAAGCCAGGACGCCCAGCAGGTTCCAAAGCCAAGGCCCAGCCGGGAAAGAAAGCAGCCCCAAAGGTCAACACCCCCAAGCCCAAGGCTGTGCCCAAGCTGAAAGGAAAGGGCGAGCCTGGTGACAAGGAAGCCCCGGATGGGCCCAGCTCCAGCCAGGACACCCAGTTCTATGCACGTGAAGAGGTAAAGCCCAAGGCCAAATCCCGCGCGAAAGCACCGAAGCCCAGTCCCAAGAAGAAAGCAAAGCAAGAGAAGAAGAAGAGAGAGCCAGCGACGGATCCCGTAGAGGCTGAAAAGAAGGCCCGTAAATCTCGGAAGAGTTGCGCGTACAAGAGGGCCAAGGCTGAAAAGTTGGCTCTGGGTTTCAGTGTAGTATAGTTCACCGATACCCTGGCGTCGTTGTGTGTGCGAAAAAAATCAGGTTTAGAGGGCTTTGGGACAAAATCCGTGGGAAAATGAGGCTTTTGTTGGCTGTGAGGCACTTCGGAACCGAAACAACACCTAAACACGGTATAGTGAGCGCATTCGTTGTTTTTCTTTATGTTTTTGTATGTGTTAACGAACATTGTGGTTGTCATAAAGCCCGGTGGCAGGGATCATGAGCTCAGTTTGGGTTGCCATTTCCAGGCAGCGCCAGTGCGGAAGCTTCACGTTTTCTGTTTTTGAATTTTGTGGGTCGGCAGCCCGCACTTTAAAGAACTCCGCGGTGTGACTGCATTACGCACCTAGCAAACATCTTTGGGCTGCTTGGAGGTTCAGGGTACTTGGCAACCCATGATAAGTGTAACAAATATATAAGTTCCTAATACGGTATACTTGGGTTATAACTGTATATCACTGGGTTACAAAGTACCGTGAGCTTCCAAGTTTTTGCGGGAGATAAGAAGTTGAGCAACGCGTTGACTCATAGAGTACGCTTGAGCTCCATCATCAGGTCCATGCGGGCCCTTCAGACTCGGGCCTGGAGGTTAATGTTCATGATGCAAACTCATGACATTGGGGTGGTGGGACCGATCGGTGCAGCTCCAGACACTTTTCGGCCAACTGGCCTCGGTCAGATCGAGCTTTGCGTGCTGCAGTTCAAGCAATTCTTCTCAAACTTCCCAGATCTTCCAAAACCGCTTAACCAAGGAATCTGCCCTAATTCATTATCAGGATCCTTAGTATAAATTAAGGTGTAGTAATTAAGGGTTTTGGAAGATCTGGATTCACGAAATGCATTTGCTCCGGGCAACGCCAAGCAGTTGGCTGGCAGGAAGTAGGTTCTCCAACATGAAGGCAGCCCTCAAACCCTGGACCCTCAATTCTACCCTGACACAAAACCTTTCACATCAGGAGCTTTTGACAGGCCCCAAGAAGTCCAACCAAGCAGTTGGCTACTAGATTAGACCGCAAGCTGTCATTAGCCTTTAGCCCACATGTGTCTTTAGACAGTGCAACATCGGCCCGGCCACCATGGTTTTGCTGTGGCTGTGCAGCTATCCCTATCCTACATGGCGCAAGAAAATTGCGGGCAAGAGGCGGTTATGTGTGTTTCCCAGACGGCATTGGCTGGTTGAGCGAATGCAGATGTCGGGTCTTGACGTATCACCGATCATGCAAGTGAACACGTTTAGAGGCGTGCAAAGTTTCTTCAAGCTGGAAGCATTGGTCAGGATCTCTGCAGGGCGAGTAAATGTTGGTCCGCTCACAAACTGGTCTTCAGAAGAAGAATTGCTGGCAAGGTACTGCCAGTTTCCTCTTGATTCGTACAGTGTTCAGATTCAAGAAGTTTGGAAAGCGTGGCACACGAGTGGGGATCCTGAGTCACTGCGTGTCTTCTTTAGAGAAAGTCGACGGGGTGTCAGTGGCATTGCTGAAGTTTCGAATGCTCGGCCACTGGTGCGACTGCGCTCAGAGGACTTGGAAGGTGTGCTATTACGCAAGTACAATTCGCGCAATCCAGCTCAACCAGTCCAAGATGTCGTGAGTTCTCTGCAATTGAGGTGTCCAGGCAGGATCGTGTTCAATCCTGCTTGCCGCTTGTGGGATAGTGCTGGGTGTCGAAGTGTGAGGAACCAGAGCCCTAGTCCCTAAACCCTACGCTTAACCCTCAACCCTAAGCCCTAAACTCTGAACCCTTAGCCCTAAACGCTAAAACGCAGACAGGCTTCCGCCGCCAATCCTCACCCAATGGCCCTAAGCGTTTCGGGCTGATGGCTTTGGTTTCGGGTGGCTAAGTAGGGTTTAGGGTTTAGGGTTTGGGGTTTGGGATTTGGGGTTTGGGGTTTGGGGTTTGGGGTTTGGGGTTTAGGGTTTAGGGTTTAAGGTTTTTGGGGTTTAGGGTCTAGGGCTTAGGGTGGTAAATGCAAGAAACACTCTTAAGCGTGAACCATGTCATCCCGACCCTATGCCACATTGCACTGGCAGGCAACGACGAGACGCGTGTGGCACTTGCTGTGCCCGAGCCGATCGCGAATCTGATCCTGCGTGAGGCTTGGAAGTCGCTTCTTTTACAGGGTGATTGGGGATCTGATGACCAGATTCGGTTATTTGAAGATTGGCCCCCAAACGCTTGGAGACCCCAGTCTGACGAACCAAGACCTCCAGTTGAGTTCAGCTGGCACACACTTGGTCAGGCGCTGAAAGCAGTTAGGGATGTGGCAGAGGCTTTGCCGCCGTTGCCAGAGCCTGCCCTGAACGGAGATGGTGACGATGATGAGATTGCTGCTCGAGATTGTAGTGCTGCTCTGAGCAGAGTGGCATGGATGCTTCAGAGTTGGCAGTCTTCTTTAGAAGGTGATTCTGCTGCATACTGTGGTCGCGGAAGTGCCATGCACAGTTCTGAGAAGATGATTCGGTACCTTCGCCTTGTGTGGTACAGCGGTTCCACGAATCGACTGGAGCGAATTATCAAGCATGCGCTCACTGCTAGTATGAGTCCACTTTTTGCTGCCGGCATTTTGCAGGCCTTGGAGACCCCCAAAAAGCAGCCAAGCAAAAGCTCACTCAAGCGGTACCGCCTGGTGCTGGATGTCTCGTACTTGTTGCTGTCGCAGGTCGAAAATCAAGCTGCAAACCATGCAGGGTGTCAAAGATACCTTTGGGCAGACAGTTCGCCCAGCAAACACCACAACTGGCTTTGGGTTGAACAGCATTCGGTCAGCAGTGATTTGCAGCTGAGGTCATGCTTTCATGCAGCAAGAGAGATTTGCGTGGCATTGCGTGCTCCCAATGTGGACCCATTTGATCTCGCCGACTCTGTGTGGCAACATTTCAGTACACTTGCTTCTGCAATCAGCCACCATATCCACACTCCTGTTGCACTGGGCTCGGGCAAGAAGATGTCTGACGCTGCGCAGAAAGCTTCTGCAATGGCTCACTCCTTTGCACTTGAGAACCCCAGCTGGGCCGACCTGCACGCTTACCTAGACTCGTTCGTCAGTGTCACAACAGATCTTGGTGCAGAGAGCTCTCTAGCGTACTTTCACGTGGACCTGAAAGAATTGTTTCCTTCGTGGCATGACCTGAACCCTCTCGAGATTGATGGGGAGGATATGCATGTGCAGGCAGGCGAGCCACGGGTGCAAGTGCTAGGTCAAAGGTATTTCTTGCCGAATGCCCTTCCCGTCATGGGCATGCAGCATTGTGTGCACAACCTGTTAAAACAAGTTCATACTACACTGGAGCACTGGCATGAATTTTGGCAAGATTTGAAGAATCTCGAAAGCCTTCTGAACTGGCCCTTCAGGAGGAGACGCTTCATCGTCACGTGCGTCCGGGGTAGTCCGTTTCAGCACCTGGAGGAAAGATTTGAGGGGTTCTCTCAAAGTCTGTATGAGGCTCGATGGCACGAAGTTGCAAAATTTGTTGGCAAAGTCAGGCCTCTCTTGGGACCGCTTCGCAGCGTCTGGGATGTCCAGCGATTTGAACGGGGGGGGGTTGATGAGGATGGAGGCCCTTTGTCCAGTGCTCCAGTGGGGGCTGCTGCTTTTGATCCACACGCTTTGACCCGAAGTTTGCAGTGCCCAAGGTTTGGAGCATATGTGTGTCTTGTAAACAAATTGGAGCAATGTCCTGAACAACTGGCCTCTTGGGCAGAGAACTGCACTTGCCATGAGTTTGTGTGCGAAGGCATGTCGCAGTACAAGCGGCAAGAGCTCTTGAAAACACATTACGAAATCACGGGTGTTTGTCCAATGGCTGGCAAGCGGGCTCCGGAACTCGCAGCTGGTCACGCCGAACATGTTTTTCAAGAAATCTGTGACCGAGCGCTGGCCGACATCTTAATAGATGCCCCCCTTCCTCTCCCGCCAGAGGGCCAGCAGCAAATCATTTCAGAGTTGCAGAGAGCTCAGAACCATTTGAAGCTGTTGTTGTTTGCGAAGTTGCAGCATTGGCAGCGAATGCCGTGGCTTGCGTGTGGCCTCGCTCATCACAGTGAAGATGTTGCTCGGGATGTAGCCCGCAAAATCTTGCTGTCTTTTGAAGAGTGTTCCGACGCCGAGCTGCACCACCGCTTGACCCAGCAGTTCTTAGCGCAGCCTTTGTATGCAGAACTTGAGAGGTTCGCAGGGGGTCTGTCTTTTGAGCAAACAAGTCCAGATTTTCAAACTGCTGTCATGCGACTGCGTTTTGTTCCGGTCGTGGAAACAATCATCGAGTCCAAGCATGCTGTGTCTACCAGGCTGCACAAGCGTGACACGCACGCAGGCCCGGTCATGGTTAGCCTCTACAACCGCATGGTCATCTTAGAGCAGAGGCTTGAGCACGAGCCCGGTTTCTTTTGTAAACTAGCCCAGCAGATGGCAGGTGCCAGGCATTTGGGCACATTGCCGGCGAAGCTTGGTTTGCATAGACACCCTCTTTTTATCGAGCTAGAGAACTCTAAAGGACGGCGAGGTGTCGCTGCTTTTTTGCAGAAGCCACTAACTGCTGTCATCTATAGGACTGACCTTGATGGCCAGTACAAGCCTTTGACTACAGCTCGCAGGCAGCACGAGCATTTCCACAAACAAAACGAGGACCGCATCCAAAGCGCTTTGCAAGAGCACAAAGGTTCTCAGCAGGCGCTTGGTGTAGGAGATCAGGTGAGGCATGCCTTGATTCTGGATCATTTTCGAACAGTGGCTAGCTCCAGTGATGGGCGGGCCATGGTGTTCTCACTCCCAAGCCACGCTCAAGTGTCTATGCAAAGGTTGGCCGATTTCTTTGCCAAGCCCGACGCCAGGCAATCTGCTCGCAATTCAGGCGTGCTGGAGGATTGCGCTGAGGACCTGCAGGCTGCCTCCAACGATGATCAGGCCGCAGGTTCAAGGCCAGTGTTTTTCACAGTCACAAAAGCGAGGCCAAGTGCAAACCACCACTTGTATGTGCATCCTGGCGCTGGCCCTTCATTG